CATTGTTATCAGATCAACAAGTCTCCAACAAGGTATTGTTTCTCTGATCCTCAGTCTGTGCCCATTATCATCATCATGAGCTCTTCCTGTTATTTGTCACCTTCTTTAGAACTATGTCTTTACTTCTCATAGGATTTCTTCTTCCAAAGTTGTGATTTAGCTTAGATAACTAAGAAGGCATCTGTCCAGTGTGGACATCCACCTCATTAGTATTTGGACTCTGTTCCTGTTGAACTGCTTGTCACTAATGAGGACTTGCTAGAGTTCATAAGTCTTGATGGTATCTCTATCTTCATAAATCTGGCTGGCAGGAAAGCACCCACCCGATTTAGTCTGACTATACGTACATGGTTTCTAATTAAACCTATCTTTTACTCTTCAAGATGGCAAAACAACAAATATTTAAACATTTTTTATCTGAAAGTATTTGCATACTATTAAGTAAATACTTTTAAATTGATTTGTTTTTGCTTTTTTTTTTTAAGATTTATTTATTGAGAGAGAGAAAGAGCGAGCACACGCAAGCAGGGAAGGGGACAGAAGGAGAGGAGAGAATCCCAAGCAAATTCCCTGCTGAGCATGGAGCCCAATGTAAAGGCTGGATCCCACCACCCATGAGGTCATTACTTGAGCTAAAATCACTGGTCAGATGCTTAACCAACTCAGTTATCCAGATGTCCCTAGGTTCATTTATTTTAAAAAGACATGAAGACATACTTGGGAGTAATGGACATTGAATTCTTAACAGAATTACTTCAGAGAAGGGAGGGAGAGAAGTGACTTGGAGAAGTTACACAGGCCCCAGTTTTATATGTAATGTTTCCTTTGCCTCAAATCTTTTTAAGAAATTAAGGATAAAGTTAGGTAGTAGATACACGGGTATTTAAAACTTTTTTTGTTGATATATTTGCGTATTTCAAAGATTAAGTGAGATATGTACTAAAGTATTCAGCAAGAAATTAACACAATCCTGGTAAGGCTGAGGTTCTTTTTTTGGAGGGTCTGGCTTTTATTTTTAATTTTATTATTATTTTTTTTCATCACTATACTTGTACTCTTTAATCCTCATCACCTATTTCACCCATCCCTCCACCCCCAGGCACTCTGATAACCATTAAGAGTCTGTTTCTTGGTTTGTCTCTCTTTTTTTTTTTTTCTTTTGCTTGTTTCTTTGTTTCTTAAATTCCACATGTGAATGAAAGGTATTTGTCTTTCTCTGACGGACTTATTTTGCTTATTAGCATTAAAAAATATGGAAGGCTTCACAAATTTGTGGTATCATCCTTGCTTAGGGGCCATGCTAATCTTCTCTGTATTATTCCAATTTTAGTATATGTGCTGCTGAAGCAAACACTCTTCTCCCATTCTTTTTTTTTTTTTTAATTTATTTATGATAGTCACAGAGAGAGAGAGAGAGAGAGAGAGAGAGAGGGGCAGAGACACAGGCAGAGGGAGAAGCAGGCTCCATGCACCAGGAGCCCGACGTGGGATTCGATCCCGGGTCTCCAGGATCGCGCCCTGGGCCAAAGGCAGGCGCCAAACCGCTGCGCCACCCAGGGATCCCTCTTCTGCCATTCTTAAATGGAATTACTCATATTATGGATGTTGAGTTGTATTAATTTTTTTTTTTTAAGATTTTGTTTATTCATGAAAGACACAGAGAGAGGCAGAGATATAGGCAGAGGGAAAAGCAGGCTCCCTTCAGGAGCCTGATGTTGGGACTCAGTCCTGGGATTCCAGGAGCCAAAGGCAGATGCTCAACCACTGAGCCACCCAGGCGTCCCATTTTAATTTCTTTATATAGTTTGGATACTAACCCTTTATCAGATAGGTCATTTGCAATTATCTTCTCCCATTCAATTGGTTGCCTTTAAGTTTTGTTGATTGTTTCCTTTGCTGTGCAGAAGCTTTTTATTTTGATGTAGTCCCAATAGTTTATTTTTGCTTTTTATTTCCCTTGCCTCATGAGACATATTTTAAAGAATGTTGCTACAGTTGATGTCAGAGATTACTGCCTGTGCTGTCTTCAGGGATTTTTATGGTTTCAGGTCTCAACATTTAGGTCTTTAACCCATTTTGAGTTTATTTTTGTGTATGGTGAAAGAAAGTGGTCCAGTGTCATTCTTTTGCATGTGGCTGTCCAGTTTTCCCAGCACCAATTGTTGAAGAGACTGTCTTTTTTCCATTGGATATTCATTCCTTCTTTGTTGAAGATTAATTGACTGTATAATTGTAAGTTTATATCTGGTTTTTCTCTTCTATTCCACTAATCTGTGTGCCAGTACCATAATGTTTTAATTATATGATTGCTTTGTAATATAAGTTGAAATCTGGAACTGTGATATCTCCAGTTTTGTTTTTCTTTTTCAAGATTGCTTTGAATATGGGGATTCCCGGGTGGCTCAGCGGTTTAGTCCCTGCCTTCGGCCCAGGGCGTGATCCTGGAGTCCTGGGATCGAGTCCCACCTTGGGCTCCCTGCGTGGAGCCTGCTTCTCCCTCTGCCTGTGTCTCTGCCTCTCTCTCTCTTTCTCTGTCTCTCTCATGAATAAATAAGTAAAATCTTAAGAAAAAAAAAAAGATTGAATATTCAGGGCCTTCTGTGGTTCCTTGCTCTTCCAACCCATGAGCATGGAATGTCTTTCCATTTCTTTTGTGTCATCTTGAATTTCTTTCATTAGTGTTTTACAATTTTCAGAGTACAGATCTTTCATTAAATTCCTTTTTGAGGGGGGATCCCTGGGTGGCTCAGTGGTTTAACGCCTGCCTTCAGCCCAGGCATGATCCTAGAGACCTGGATCGAGTCCCACGTCGGGCTCCCTGCATAGAGTCTGCTTCTCCCTCTGCCTCTCTCTTTCTCTGTGTCTCTCATGAATAAATGAATAAAAACTTTTAAAATATATATAAATATAAATAAATAAATTCCTTTTTGACTATAGCTGTCAACATTTCTTCCTCCCCAGAGATAACAACTGTTACCAGTGTGAATTATACCAGGCCTTTTTCTTAGGCCTGGTATAATTAGAAAATGTATGGTGATGTTTATATTTTATTTTTTTAGTGTCATTACATTGTATAGAAACACCTCACTGCACTTCAATTTACTGCACTTTGCAAATACTGCCTTTTTTTTTTTTTTTTTTTTTTAATAAATTGAAGGTTTGTGGAAACCCTGTGTCGAGCAGGTCTGTTGATGCCACTTTTCCAACAGCGTTTGCTTACTTTGAATCTCTGTGTGACATTTTGGTAATTCTTGAAATATTTAGAACTTTTTCATTATTATTGTATTTGTTATGGTGATCTGTGATCATTGATCTTTGATGTTACTATTGTAATTGTTTTGAGATGCCAGAGACCAATCCTTTGTAAGATGGAGAACTTAAGTGATACATGTTATGCATGTTCAAACTGCTCCATCAACTGGCCGGTTGCCAGTTTCTTTCCCTCTCCTTGGGACCCCATTCCCTGAGACACAACAATATTGAAGTTAAGCCAGTTATTAACCCTACAATGGCCTCTTAAGTGTTGAAGGAAAAGAGGACCCAGGACTCTTACTTTTTTTTTTTTAAAGATTTTATTTATTTATTAATGAGATACACACACACACACACACACAGGCAGAGACACAGGCAGAGGGAGAAGCAGGCTCCATGCAGGGAGTCTGACGTGGGACTCAATCCCGGGTCTCCAGGATCAGGCCCTGGACTGAAGGCGACGCTAAACCACTGAGCCACCCAGGCTGCCCTGGACTCTCACTTTATTTATTTTTTTTTAAGATTTTATTTATTTATTCATAGAGACACAGAGAGAGGCAGAGACACAGGCAGAGGGAGAAGCAGGCTCCATGCAGGGAGCCCGACGTGGGACTTGATCCCGGGTCTCCAGGATCACACCCCGGGCTGCAGGCAACACTAAACTGCTGCGCCACTGGGGCTGCCCTGGACTCTCACTTTAAATCAAAAGTTTGAGGTGCTTAAGCTTAATGAGGAAGATATATCAAAAGTCAAGATAGGCCAAAAGCTAGGCCATTTGTGCCAAACAGCCAAGTTGTGAATGCAAAGGAAAAGTTCTCAAAGAAATTAAAAAGTGCTATTCCACTGAACACACAAATGGTGAAGTAAAACAGCCTTATTGCTGATAGAAAGCTTTTCCCATTCCCTTAAGCCAAAGCCTAATCTAAAGCAAGGCTTTGACTCTCTTCTCTTCTGTGAACGCTGGGAGAGGTTAGGAAGCTACAGCAGAAAAGTTTGAAGCTAGCAGAGGTCATGAGGTTTTACGAAAGAAGCCATCCATCTCTGTAACATAAAAAACACAAGGTGATGCAACAAGCATATAGAAGCTGCAGCAAATTATCCAGAAGATCTAAGATAATTAATGAAGGTGGCTATACTAAACAACATATGGACACTGAAACCTTGTGTTTGTTTTAAAGTGCATTTTCCTGATTACTAGTGAAATCAACCATCTTTTCATATGTTTATTGGCCTTTTATATTTCCTTTTGTGTGAAATGTGTGTTCATATTCGTTTTTATTCTGGGCTATCATTTTATTATTGATTTTGTAGGATTTCTTTAGTTTCATACTTTATATTTGGGACAACATCTCTTCAAAATTATCTTGGCTATTGCACATCTCTCTTTGACATATTTCCTAAAATGATAGAATCAGCCTGTCAAGTTCAAGGAGTAATCCTCTTGAATTTGGTATTGCTTTAATTACTACAGGTTAATTTGGGGAGAGGTATTACGTATTTTACCAACAGCATTTGTTTTTCAGCCTAATGCCCGTTCTGAATTAGATAATTTGTTTAGGGCTGTTGCTCTGTGATTAAAAAAAAAAATAGTTTACTTTACTGTCATCCTCTTTTGAAGTAATTGTCATCTTTTCTGGCACATTTCTTTTCTAAACACATGTTATCTGAACTGTTACAAAGAGCTACTGGTGGGATGTGCAGTATGGGTGGGAAAATTCTGTCATCACTTTTATGTCTTGTTTTTCTAGCAATCCCCAAAGTGAGGCTGGAGACAATCTACATTTGTGGAGTAGATGAGATGAGTACCCAGGATATCTTTTCCTATTTTAAAGAATATCCTCCTGCTCACATTGAATGGTTGGACGATACCTCCTGTAAGTACATGCAAGTTTTTTATTGACTATGCTTTTGTTTATGATTTTAAGAGTTTTTGTTTTATCAGATGGTGAATGTTTGTGGTTGAGACTACTTGTCTGTGCCCTAACCTCTGCCTTTAGCCTAGGGGGAAAAGATTGGCCATTGATGAAAACCAGAATGCCTTAGCCAATCTGCCAGATCATATTCAATGAGTACTGTAAGACAGCTTAGTGGTGATGACCAGGAATCTAGGAGGTTGGTTGCTGGCATCTGAGTCTTGTGTACATGATTTTTTTTTCTTTTTTTTGTGTACATGATTATTGAGGCCTCTTTAACTCCCACAATTTCCCAACAAAGGGATCCAACTTTATAGAATTGGGGTGGATCCAGCTGTATAGAATTGGGGCTGTTTATTCAGGGCTTTAGATGTTGTAATTGCACCTTCCCAGATAGCTCTTCACACGGCTGGCTCTGCCTTAGTATCTGATCCAGAACTAAACTGAAATCCTCTGACACTATATCAGACCTCTTCTTGCTTTGAAACTTCACCTGCTTGCCCTAACCTGTGATTTCTCCAACTTGTGAACTAACTAATACTTACTTGCCTCCCGACTCCAGAGGAGTAACCACTCTGCTGGCTTCTTGTTTTAACTCACTTCTATTCTGGCTTTGCTTACAGCTAGCTTGCTGACCTAGGTTGTACCTTGAATAGCTGCCTGGTTTTCCCATCCACTTCTTTAGAAGATGTTGATTAAGTATTATCATTGAAAGAAGAAACATGACTGAGTAGAAGAGTTTTCTCTGTTTTTCCTTTTGCTTAACTTACACCATCTAAATCAAGGGTTGGCAAACCTTGGGACGCCTGGGTGGCTCAGCATTGGGTGCTTGCCTTCGGCTCAGGTTGTGATCCTGGGATCCAGGATTGAGTTCTGCATCGGGCTCCCTGCGAGGAGCCTGCTTCTCCTCTGCCTATGTCTCTGCCTCTCTCTGTCTGCCTCTCTCATGAATAAATAAATAAATCTTAAAAAAATTAAATGGATTTCTTTTCTATAAGACTTCTCAATACCTTTTTCTTGATAAATTCTCTTGCTTAAAGAAGCAGATTAAATTAGTTGCTACAAAGCCAAGTGGCTATCATGCCCCCATTGTATATATTCCATGGATACCATCATCACCCACACTTTACAGTGGAAAACAATCATTTAGCATATCTGAATGACAAGAAACAGCACACAGCTTCCCTGTAGAGGGCAGTAGTAAAAAAGGATAATCCAAACTTATTTGACAGTTGTCTTCTTACCATCATCATCATCACAAAAACTGCTAACACTATATATACTCTTTGAGCCAGGCAGTTTTAATATACAGAACCCTTTTTCATGGACTATGTCACAGCTATTTCATGGAACCCAGTTTGGAAATGCAGCTCTAGGCTAATATCACCAAAGAAGTTTTACTACCACTTTCTGTACTACTTTCATTAGGTGATTTGTACGTTTACTGATACTGATCTGGAGCTAGATGAGGCCATAGCAATGAAGGTACTGCAGTCTCCTGTTTTTTTTAAAACTTACCATTTGGATGTGATGTAATGTTTTATTTTACATTTTGTTTAGGTAATGTGGTTTGGCTGGATGAAATGACAGCCACACGAGCCCTTATCAATATGAGCTCTCTGCCAGCCCTGGATAAAATAAGAAGCAGGGATGCCAATGAGGACAGGTCATCTGAGAAAAGTAAAACAGGTAACAACACAGGAGGAACTTTTGGACTGAAAAGTCCTATTCTTTACACTGTTGATTTGGGTTTCTGTGCAGAGCTTTATATAGCATTTCATTGTCATTTCTAAAATAAGCTCTGATGCTTTGGATCATCAGTAAATAGGAGATAGTACTGGACTTTTAAGTTACACGAGATGAAGTTATGTTAAGATTCATCTTGTCTCTAATACTGCATTTTAGACAAGCAAGAAGACAGTTCAGATGATGAGGAGGCTGAAGAAGGAGAAGTTGAAGATGAAAACTCAAGCGATATAGAGGTTAGTAATAGGGCAAAGATATATATAAGTTTTTAGTGTAAAAAATTGCTTACTGTGTTTTATTTAAGGCTTAAGGACATAGTAAGTTGTGTTCTTCCTCTGGCTTTTACTGTTAGACCTTTTGAGGGTATACCAGGATCTTGGCCTTTAAGTTCATGTAGCTGTAAAAAGTGATTTTTCTTGAGATTTTTAGACTAGTACTCATACTTCTGAATAAAAACTTTGTTTTGTTGAGACATACTTTGAAGTGTTATCTAATGAGTAAAATTAAGAAAAAGTAACTGACAGAATATTCCTAATGGGACATGTGCTATTGTTGGAAATATTAAAGTGTATTCATTTAAAAAGTACTGAGTACCTACTATGTACCAGATTCTAGGTCCTGTGGATATAGCATAAAACCAAAGTCCTTCCCTTCTTGGAACATACATTCTAGTGGTGAAGAAAGACCATGCACAGATGCACAGATATGTAATATAATGTCAGGAAGTGAGGAGTGCTATGGAGAAAAGAAGGGTAAGCAGGTAGAGAATGATGGAGACTCTTCTTTCAGACAAGGTGTTCAGGGAAGACCTCTGACTTAGCAATGTCTCAGAGGATCAGTGCTGTCATGCTTCAAGAATTGTGTTTTTTTGTTTTGTTTTGTTTTGTTTTAAGAATTGTTAAAAATGCTTTCTTGATAGTGGCTTTGCTACTGAATAAATATGAAAGAAAATGTAATTTTTGTATTGAAAATGCTCTTTTTTCTTAAGTTGGACACATTGTCTCAAGTAGAAGAAGAGTCTCTGCTAAGAAATGATCTTCGTCCAGCTAACAAACTTGCAAAAGGAAATAGGTTATTCATGAGATTTGCTACAAAAGGTAAATGTGTTTTTGGCATTAATTTTTAATTTTAATCTAAGTCATTTATTTTTGAGTGACATCCATCTCTTTTGAGTATGAAGTTAGGTCAAGTAATCTTAGAGTCCATTCAAACAATAATATTCTATGCTTGTGAAATCATGGCTTGCTGTCTGAGTTGAATTTCAGACTTTGAAGGTGAATATTAGCTATTTTTGCATAGTTTTTGTGATTTCTGGCTAAAGGAAGTTATTTCCTGCTAAAGCTAGTTTGTCCTCTCTACTGTTCAGTTTATCATGTGAACTATCATCTGAACTATTTTAAAGTTACACTTTTTTATTCATCGTAGCAGTATCTTCCTGGACGTTGCTAATAGTGCCATTCTCTCTGAGGAGTTCAAAGCCTCTTAAGGGGATCCCTGGGTGGCTTAGCAGTTTAGCACCTGCCTTCAGCCCAGGGGGTTATCCTGGAGTCCTGGCATCGAGCCCCATGTTGGGCTTCTGCAATGGAGCCTGCTTCTCCCTCTGCCTATGTCTCTGCCTCTCTCTCTCTGTATGTGTCTCATGAATAAATAAATAAAATCTTTGAAAAAATAAAAAATAAAAAAAATAAAAGCCTCTTCAATTTGTAAGACTCTCTGCACAGTGATTTTGGTGTGCATTAAAATATATATGAATTTTGAATATGGAATACTCCCTGGTTTATTTTTCTCGACTGAGACATGTTTAGACTATCAGCTCGTTATTTTATTTTTTTAAATTTTTTTAAAGATTTACTTACTTACTTACTTACTTATTTATTTATTTATTATAGAGAGGCAGAGACACAGGAGGAGGGAGAAGCAGGCTCCCTACCAGGAGCCCAACATGGGACTCGATCCTGGGACTCCAGGCTCGCGCCCTGGGCCAAAGGCAGGCGCTAAACCGCTGAGCCACCCAGGGATCCCCTCAGCTCATTATTTTATAGACTGCCTCTCAGTTTCAGTTTGTCTGATATCTCCTCCTGATTAAATCAAATTGTGCGTGTTAAGCAAGAGTACCACAGAAGTGCTGTTTGTATCATTTTCAGTGCATGATGTCAGGAGACACATGATATTTACTTGTCCCATTTATGGAGATGTTAACTTTTCTCACTTGGTTAAGGTTTCTCCTGTTTTTCCATTTGTTAATATAAAAATTTGTGGGAGGTACTTCAAGATTATGTAAATAGACTTTTGCTCATAATTCCACTCAGCATCCATTGATGACTTTTAACTCTACATTTCTTTATTTGGCATTCTGCTTTGTAAGAAGTTTGCTCTTTCTTTCTTTCTTTCTTTCTTTCTTTCTTTCTTTCTTTCTTTCTTTCTTTCTTTCTTTCTTTCGATTCATGAGTCTTATTCAGTGGGTTATCATTCATTCCTATCATTAATTTGATTTATGAATCTTCCTGGATTTGGCCAGTGGAGCCCCTTTAAGCTTTATTGTTTTGACATGCATTCATGATTCTTTGAGCATTTTCTTACTTTATGGCACAGTAAAACATCTCGTTTTACCAGACTCAACTTGTACTTTCCCTGTCCCAGATCTGGAATCAGCCATTTCTCCAAGGAGCTAGTGGGCATGTTTTTTTTTAAAGGGTGCACTTGTTGGCTTGTGCCACTATTTACGTGGAGCACCAGATACATGTGTATTGCTATTCACCTTTTGTAATCCATGAGTGCCCCAGGAGCTAGCAAAGACCTATTACGAGAATGTGTGTGATCACTGACCACCTTTTCTTTCTATTGACTGGCATTTTAACTTGACAAAAGTGATCTTTTCTATGTTTATAGAGTATCTTATTTGAATGCATTCTAAGTGAATGGTGCTATGCTGTTTTCTTTAAGCTGTTTTGAGAACATCATGATAGATTGGAAAAAATGCTTTACCAGATATATGGAATTATGTATAGTCTCTTTCTTTAACATTAATTCTTTGTTATTGGAGTGTTGTCATTCAGAAATGAATGTCATCTTTCATGGAGACAGTGAAAATGCTACCTCTTCTAGAAAGCTTTTTTTTATTCCCGCCCAGCTATACTGACTGTAGCTCTCTTAAGCTTCTTAGAACTTTGTATGTTGTATTGTTGTTGTTAGCAGTGTTTTCTCTATGAGGTCAGCTCCTTAACATTAGCTTAACTTCATTCATCTCTGTATTTTACTCCACCCCCTCTATACTGCTCTGCTTTTGTAGGCTCTGAGAATGAATATTTGTAGTGTATCTTTCCCTTTTGTTGGTAGATTGTGCTGATGTGATCCCAACTATGGAAAACATTTTTTTTAGCCATTCAACATTGTCTTCATACCAATGCGAAATCCTAGGTAACTGTCGTAATTAATTTTTAGATGACAAAAAGGAACTTGGAGCAGCCAGAAGAAGTCAGTATTACATGAAATATGGGAATCCAAATTACGGAGGCATGAAAGGAATTCTTAGTAATTCTTGGTGAGTCCAAAATTTTAAAATACAATTTTAAATAGTACCTAAGCTTTTCTTAATCCCTCAGTTGGTATTCTGCAGTGGAATGTCAGCACTATGTGTGGACTCAAGGAAGACAAGAAGAAAGTTCAAGATTCTTAACTGTGGGTTAAATGGTATGAAAGGCCAAGTTTTAGTTTCATGTAAAATGTCTGTTTCAGCACCTAACATTGCATCGGTGTACAGTTAAACTCAATTAGTGGATTTCAAGGTCCTTCCTATTGGTTTTTGATTATGTGCTTATTTTGGAATGTTGCAGGAAGCGAAGATATCATTCCCGTCGCATTCAGCGGGATGTGATCAAGAAGAGAGCCCTGATTGGGGATGACGTTGGCTTGACGTCCTATAAACACCGACATTCCGGTAGTTGCCTGCTCAGCTCTTGGGTAGACACATGTTTGGCTCCCGAAATCATATTCTTATTCTTAATACAGTCTTTTAAGGTTCCAAACTTTATCATCCTCTCTTCCTTGCCCTCACCCTCTGCCAACATATAGGAAAGTAAGTCAAGTCACAATTAATTTTAAATTGCCCATACAAAAGAGGTCAAATGATTTAATAAGAGCTGTTCTAACAAAAAGGGCCAAATGTGACTTAGGAGAAATTGAAAGAAAATTTTCTGTAGCAATCTAATTTTTCTACTATTAATATCAAAAGCTGCATGAAAACTTTTTAAGTTATTTTATCATATGACTTGATTTTATGGTTTCTTTGATGTTGAAAATAGACTGCTACGTTTAGTGTTTTATGCTTATTGGCTTGTGTACACGAATGTCTCAGTTAAATGAGATATCACGACTTGGGTTTCATTTTGTTTTTTTGTTCCGTCCATCCTTTGTTCCTTTGTTTTGGTGCATATTATAAAAGAACCGTTTTCATTATGTTTTTATAAAGATTTGTTTTTATTTTTAATCTAACTTATAGAATTTTCTACATGCTTTGTAGAACTGCTAAGTCAGCATACAAACATAGGATAATATGCATACATGTTTATCATTGTAATGGACAGGTGAAGTCTCGTTTTTATTTAATGTATATATTCAAAATTGTATATTTGAAATCTGCATCTTAAAAATGCACATACTTTTCTGTTACAGTTACAGGTTACCAATTTCAAATTCTAAGATATTTTATCATATAATCTTTAAAGAAATTGAAAAGCAAATCACCCCCTAATTCTAGCACTTTTATTATAAGCAACTTATTTCATTTTATATTTTCCTTATCTATTTTCATAATAAATATAATTGTTGTGAACATATATTTTTAGTCCTCTTCCACTTTACAAGCATTTTTCCATGAACTCTAAAGTTACAGTTGATTTTTGTTATTCATGGTGGTATGTTCTATAAGGTCACTGTGATCATTGATATAGTGAATACTAAAACATTCAGAGACTCTGGTCACCATTTTCATCAACTGATCAGTATATAACCTTCTTTGCTGTGTGTTTCACTTAAAGATATCTTATTAAATACATATTGTTGATTCATTAATATTGGACTCACAGCCAACAGCATTATAACTCATGCTTGAACAAAGCTTACTTAACACAAATTTATTCTGTAAGGCACATCACAGTCTTCTTGTGCTTAGAAACACTAGACAGCTTTGACACTATACCCGGAAACCATTTTTTTAAATGTTTAAGTGAACTCACCAACAAAAGCCACAAAAATATGAAAAACATGGCACTTCATAGATTGCAAAAAAGGACACTTGTTTACATGAGAGCTGAAACAAGAAAGAGTGTTGTCTCATTTGACCTCGGCTGGGAATACGCACATCTGGTGACTCAATTTTTTTTTGACACTCTGTGCATGTCCACAAATGGCCATGAAAACACTATGAATGTTGATACAGAGTTACAAATAAATATGGCAGATTTGCAAATATAGAATTCACGAGTAATGACAACTGTACTTTAGATAACTTTATAATATTCCATCAGGTTGCTAGATCATACTTTACCTAGCCAATCTTCTATTTTAGGTATCAGAATGACAACTAGATTGGCACTAATACAGATAATAGTCCAGTAAGATCTCGGGCACGGGAACACCACCTTTTAAAAAGGTCACCAATATAGAGCAGAAAATCAGATTCATTAATTTTAGTGCTTTTCCTAATGTTTTTTGGTTAAATTTCTTAGGACTAGTAAATGTTCCAGAGGAACCCATTGAAGAGGAAGAGGAAGAAGAGGAGGAGGAGGATCAGGACATGGATGCAGATGACAGGGTGGTAGTAGAGTACCATGAGGAGCTCCCAGCTCTCAAGCAAACCCGGGAGCGGAGCACATCGAGGCAGTCCAGTGCCAGCAGTTCAGACTCCGATGAAATGGACTATGATCTAGAACTGAAAATGATTTCCACTCCTTCACCAAAGAAAAGCATGAAAATGACCATGTATGCTGATGAAGTGGAATCTCAGTTGAAAAATATTAGGTGAAAATATTTTGTCTTTTTATCAATGCTAGCTTTTAATTTTGTTTTAAATACTAATTCCTAACTTCCTCTTAACTCTTAATTTTATAATTACTTTTATCTGTTGCATCAGATTTTTCCTTTAAATATACAAGAATTAATCATTGTTATAAAAATGACAGTGCAGAAAAAAAAATGACAGTGCAGAAACTGAAAATCACCCATAATCTTATCCTTTCCTAAAATCATGACTTAGCAGTCGAGTGAATAACTTTCCTGCTAATTTTATGCATATACCTAACACATGGAGAAATTCTAGAGTTCTACAGAAATGAAGTTGTATTTATATTGTCTTGCAGTGTGCTTTTCCTGTTTAATGTAGTGTAGATTTCTATTTTTTCATCCAGATATAGTCCTTTGTTTGAAAATATCATGATTTATTTGGTCAGTCCCTTATTGATAGACATTTAGGTTTCTATTTTCTTACTATTGGGATGCCTGGGTGGCTCAGCGGTTGAACATCTACCTTCGGTTCAGGGTGTGATCCCGGAGTCCCGGGATCAAGTCCCACATCAGGTTCTGTGCATGGAGCCTACTCTCTCTGCCTGTGTCTCTGCCTCTCTTTGTGTCTATCATGAATAAATAAAATCTTTCAAAAAATAAAATTAAGGGATCCCTGGGTGGCGCACTGGTTTAGCGCCTGCCTTTGGCCCAGGGCGCGATCCTGGAGACCCGGGATCGAATCCCACGTCGGGCTCCCGGTGCATGGAGCCTGCTTCTCCCTCTGCCTATGTCTTTGCGCCTCTCTCTCTCTCTCTCTCTCTCTCTCTCTCTCTCTCTCTATCATAAAAAAAATAATAATAAAAAATAAGAAAAAAATTAAATTAAAATATATCTTACTGTTGCACTAACTAGATAAATTTCTTGAATTCCAGTTATTGCACAGAGCTGCACATATGTTGAAAAATGTGGTGGTGTTAGGGTTGCCTGGGTGCACAGTTGTTTCAGCATCCAACTCTTGGTTTCGGCTAAGTTCGTGATCTCGGGGTCATGAGATCAAGCTCCATGTTGGGCTCAGTGCAGAGTCTGCTTAAGACTCTCTCCTCTCCCTCTCTTCTCCACCCACTCCTCCTCTCACATATTCTCTCTCTCTCTCTCTCACCCTCTCTAAAATAAATAAATCTTAAAATAAAAATTGGTTTTGCTAAATTTCGTTGCAAAAAGATTTTAATCACTTTATAACCTTTTACCTCTATAGTTATCAGTCTTATCACTGTAAGTTTTGCTAATTTTGTGGACCGAGAAAAAAAAAGTTATTTTAATGTGTATTTCTTTGATGACTATTGGGGATGAGTAGATTCCTGAGGGCAGATGGCATGTGCACAGCTCAAAGAGTTGGCATCTATAGGGGTATTCTCTCTAAGTGTTCTTGGTAGTGTGGGGAAAAGAAAAACAGTTCAATCTGGTTCATTTGTATGGCTTTGTTCATATCCTTATTTTTAGTTTTCAGAGAACTTTGCAATGTTGGGTGCTGCCAGAATAATGCTGGTGCCTAGCATGGTAGCAGATGTCTATAACAGAGAAGTTTGTCCTTTAAAGAAAGAGATTGTAGACTCTGTCACATCTTGACTATAGTGAAGTCACAGCCTAGGTGCACAGAGATCCCTTAGCCCTTTGCAGGCCTTACTTAATGTTTGTCTCAGAAAGGAGAGTACTTGCAATTACATATTCTGTGATAGTTTACAATATCATGTGTGGAAACCACCCTGGAAAACTCAGTAACCTACTTGTGCTGATTGGTCTCTTTATAGCAGGCTGATCATGATTTTTGTAAGCAAATAATTACTGGTATATGGTATTTATGAGTGGATATTGGCTGTATTAGATTGGGCTGCTTAAATTATTTTCTCCAAATTACATGAGATTATTGTGTAGGCATTGTCCCACAGTTGGAGGTAGTAACTGTGCCTTTTTTTTTTTTTTTAAGGAACTCCATGAGGGCAGATACTATATCTACAAGCAATATCAAAAACCGAATTGGTAACAAATTACCAAATGAGAAATTTGTAGATGTCCGACATCTGTTAGATGAAAAACGCCAGCACACACGTCCACGGCCACAAGGCAGCAATACTAAATCAGGTATTGTTGAGTTGTGTTTCTGAGTTCCAGAAAGCCAATCAGGGCAGAGATAGGTCCTTGGATTAAACATTGCCCTTAATGAACTGGTTTAATTGTCATAGTTCATCACCTCTAAATTTGACGTTAGGCAATAGAACTTTTCAGACATGAAAAATAATCATAAATTTGCAGTACTAGCCTTCAATATTTTTGTCCCAATTATTTTACTTTATATGTCATTGATATACTTTATACATAAGAATAATAGAAATCAAGTTGAGAAGGATTTCAGAAGCTTGATTTTGTCAGGTACTTTGCCCTCATTTGGGGAGATTTGGCACGAGGTCCTCTAGAGATCTCAGGTTGACAGTATCAATAGCAAAGCACACACGATTGGTCATAGTAAAACTTTTTTTTTCTTTTTCTAGATATACGCCAGCGGTTAGGAAAAAGACCATATTCTCCAGAAAAGGCTTTTAGTAGTACCCCAGTCTTTCGGAGAGAGCCTTTTTCTGATGTACATAGTAGGCTTGGTGTTCCCAGGCAAGATGTTAAAGGCCTCTACTCTGATACTCGGGAGAAGAAATCAGGTTGGTAACACTTAAAACTGAGGGGGGGAGTAGGAACTGGGTAAGAGCAGACTGTAGCATGGAAATACCTTGTTAGTCAAAGGCAGGAAATAGCATATGTCAAAAATAAATTATTTTTCTTCTTCCATTACAGTCATTGTCATAATTATAATAATAAGGGTAATGGAAAATTTAGAAAATGGAAAAAACAAAATTAGCCTTGGTTCTTTCTGCTTAGCATGAATACTATCTATCTATTTATTTATTTTTAAAAGATTTTTTATTTATTTATTCATGAGAGACAGAGAGAGAGAGAGAGGCAGACACAGGCAGAGGGAGAAGCAGGCTCCACGCAAGGAGCCCAATGTGGGACTCGATCCCGGGTCTCCAGGATCATGCCCTAGGCTGACGGTGGTGCTAAACCGCTGAGCCACCCGGGCTGCCCTAGCACGAATATTTTTTAGTCTTAAGTTTCTGTTCAAGTCTTTGTCCATATACGTATTCTTTGTTCATACAGGATTTTATTATCATTTTTATCACATTGTTAAATTCTTTATTAATAAAATGCTTAATAGCCTTATAGTGTAGTATGCTATGAAATTATAAACACATAATTTTTCTATTTTTAGATATTAGTAAAGTACATTTTAAAAATTAATGAATAGTGGGCCAAATCTCTGAAAGTTTACAGTATAGCAGGCCTATCAGTTTGCAGAATTTATAGCTGGGAATGATCTGGGAATGGCCCACTTCCGGCAGAATGAAGCTCTACACAGAATGGTGAGTCTCACCAGGGAGGGGCAGGTGTAGCCTAAGCAGCCTCCCAGGTGATTCTGATATGCATGAGAGGCACATGTCCCCAACTGGGGAGGGTCTCCCATTGGTCCAGATCCCTCAGTTTTCCAGGCAGAGGACTATAGCCAGGGAAATGAGATTACCTTCCTAATGCTGTACAAAGGTTACAGGAGCCACAGACCCTTTCCCAGTGTCTTTTGTGCATCAGGTGTTGACAGTGTCCCTGCTTCCTCTGTATTACCCTGCTTGTCAGCATTGACCACCAAAACTGAAATGCCTTCTCACCCAAACAGGTAGTTTATGGACTCGCTTAGGATCTGCACCCAAGACCAAAGAAAAGAACACAAAGAAGGTGGATCACAGGGCGCCAGGCACTGAGGAAGATGATTCTGAGCTGCAAAGGGCATGGGGGGCTCTGATAAAGGAGAAAGAACAGTCTCGCCAAAAGAAGAGCCGGTTAGATAACTTACCATCTCTCCAGATTGAAGTTAGTCGGGAAAGCACCTCTGGTTCAGAGGCAGAGTCCTGATGCCCTTGGGGCTGATGGCAGCTGCCCTAAAGTCTGACATTCTCCTGCAGGGTGGGGTGCACAGTAGAAACCTCCCTCCCTCCCCCCACAGGAGTTGGCGCCCCTCTTGCTCTTACACAGTCACCCTCCGCTCTTGCTACTATAGCAAGACATATTAAGAATGTGACATGCTTTGAAGGGCATCTGTCTATCTTTTGCTGCAGAGTTTGAGTTCTGGGCCCTCAATTCTTTCCCCACTATCCCACAAGCTTTACCCTTTGAGGAAAAGGCAGCCCTCCAGATTTTGTAGACGTTTTTCTTAATATTTTTAACATTATGTCTTTTAAAGAAATGTTTTACACAGTTCATCCAAAGAGCAGAGAACTGAACTTCTCACTATTGCCTTGGCCCTGACAGCTGTTACCAGCACCCTTTTCCCAAGAAAAGTCAATTCCCAGGTGCTTATTGGACAGCCTTCGAGGGGGAAGATGAGGGAAGCTGCCAGCTCACCCTTCCAGGACCCTAGTGTGGGGGCCGAATCTCATGGACCTGACCTCAGAGGTGCACCAGTGCCGCCCAGGTAGATAAGAGATGCAGCATCGATCGTGCTTCCGTTTCTCCCTGGGGATTTCTGTTAGGGGCCTCTTCTTAGCAATCAGCTTGAAGTGAAGATCAAGTTCAGTGCTGTGGGATTTTTAGGAACAAAAAACTGTGACTTCTGGATTTCGGGTGGATTTTTGTGCTGGGGTGGGGTCATGAGTTAATGTTGAACAATTTTTAAGTCTGTATTATGTTCAAAAATATAAATGATTTAAAAGTTTAAATTTTTAATTTTTATATGTGAAAATACTTCCTGTTGGCTACAAGGGAAGCTCAAGTGGTGTCTTATGTGTGCTGTTAAATATATATTATATACTTTGGAAGAAGGCAAAGAGAGGAGTCTCATTATTTTTAAATGATCCTAATTGTATAGTCTGCCTGTTGTATATAGTGTTCAGCTTGCTTTTTGGCCACTGTAGGAAAAAAACCCATCCATCTGAGATGGGATCCTGTTGTTTATTACCACTTCAGAAGTAATACGTTAGTATTTATTCTATTTCCAAGTTCTGTCACCTTAAGATACCTTTAAAACTGGCAAATAAGATAATAGTTATAGAAATTTCAGTTTATTTCACATTTACTTCTAAACTCCTTTCAGATTATTTTAAAGGCAGTAGATTATTTTGTCTTCCTATTTGATCTTTATTTTGAAGTATTTAATGTTTGTATTCCTCTGCAGGCATAAAAATAGTGTTTCACTTCAATTCACTAGAACTTAAGAGTTAGCGATAGTAAGCCTTTGTCCCTTTGTGATGTCACAACTCCTCACCTGTCTGGAGTGTTTCAGTACATGGTGCAGCCCTGGATTCTAACGATCTTTACTTTTGAGTGAGCCAATCGTCTCATTGATAGTTGATTACAGTGTGGTGTGATTGAATGCAGAAAACTGCTAAAAAAGGAAGTAAAGAGCCGTGGGACTTGAGAACTACAACAACTGTACCATGTTTGGTTGGTTAACCTACTTTTCACTCCCTTTAGAAAGATTAGAGACTATAACTACAGTATGTTTCTGCTTCCTGATAGGATTCTAAAAAAGAGATGGTTCTCTGACAATTGAGACCTAATGTTTCTGAGGTTTCTCACTTCTTTTGTCCTGTGGAACATGCAGCTGAGAGCCAGGTCCTTGAGAAGGGGCTAGGTTTCGGGAGTTGGTAAAGTGAGATGGACAAGGACCTAAGAGAGACCTGGATGGCAACGTCTGGTTTCTGTTCCATGAGCCTGGGCCTCCAGTTTTCCCATCTGTCAAATGAATAGGCTGGTGGTACCAGAGCTTCTGACTTTGTTGGTGCATCTCAGTGGTGTTTTACTCTTTCCAAAGCAATGGTTGTGGTGGGCTGGCCAGCACTGGTTTCCGTTGCAGGTGTAGGGAGGGTCAAGAAGACAGCTGAGGGCACACATAAGGTTTTGGACAAAGATTCACCCTCATCCCATTTCTGTTAGTCTCTGGGTCTTCTAGTGGGACAGAGATGTCCTTGTGGTGTAGTCTCAGCAATGTTCATAAACCCTTCTTCTATGTTTCCCAGTTAAGACCTTTTCCACTAGTAATTTGGGCACATATGTCCCATGGCCTTAATAGCCCTTCCCAGTCTCCTGCTGGAGACCAGGGAAAGCTTTCTGGAATGGTGATGGTATGTAATCAAAACTGGGCCTTTGTTCTTGCTTCGGCAGCACATATACTAAAATTGGAACGATAAAACTGGGCTTTTGATCTAATCAGGAAAAATGCCCAAGTCAGCAGCCCTGCAATTCTTGCAAATACACAGAACCCAGAAAAGTATCTTTAAAGATTTTATTTCCCCCAGTTATCATTGCCTGCTTCCTCTCTTGCTCTTGGTCCACACTCAGGCACTCAGATCTTGCAATATCTTACATGTTGATGTAAGGGCTTTGAATGCCCAGGCCCTTTCTTTAGAGTTTGGGAGTGAGGGTGGACAGTTCCCCTAGTGGCAGCTCAGTGTGCCAGGGTGCTCGTTATGCATCTGGGCAGCAAGGCTATACACTTTCCTATATTCTTCTTAGTTTTTACACATAGGAGATTTCAAATACATTTTTGCTGCTTGATAATAATTGCAGATACCTCATTTCTGTTTCCCACTCTCCCCGTTGGGAGAGACACTAACTGCCCAGGAGAACTTGTAGAACCTGTGACAAGCCCTCCAGCTTCCAAACTCTGGCCCCTTTGTCTGGTCTTGTGAACCCCTACCCTTAGTTTAATCCCTGTCTTCTCCCACTCCATCCATGTGACAGCCTCTTCCCTGATCTTTGCCTCATACCCCTGTGCATTGCAGCTGGAATGAATTTTTGTTGTTTGCAGCTTTACTCAGCTATTATTTACATAGCATACAGTTCACTCCTTTAAAGTATACACTTCAGGGGCACCTGGCCAGCTTAGTTGGAGGAGCATGCAACTCTTGAACTTGAGGTTGTGAGTTAAAGTCCCACGTTGGGTGTAGCGATTACTTAAAAATACAAGATTTTAGGAAAAAAAGTATACACCTCAGTGGCTTTTAGTGTATTCACAGGGTTGTGTAGCCCTCACCACAGTCAATTTTAGACATTTTCATCACCAAAAATAGATGCTATATTCATTAGCAGTCATTCCCAATCCCTCTTCCTTCCTGGCAACCACTACCTTTGGTTTCTATGGATGTCCCCCTGAACACTCATGTAAATGGAATCACACTTTGTGGCAATTTGTGATTGGCTTCTTTCACTAAATGTATTTTTGAGGATCATCTGTGTTGTAGCCTATATTAGTACTCTTTTTATTAATAATATTCCATTGTATGAATACAATACATTTTATTTATTCATCAGTTGACAGACGTTTGGGTTGTTTCCACTTTTGGCTGATACGAATAATGCTGCTATGGAACATTTATGTACAGGCATTGGGGTGGTCATGTTTTCATTATTCTTGGGTTATATATCTAAGGGTGGAATTGTTGGGTCGCACAGTAATTCTGTCTTATTAACCTTTTAAAGAACTGCCAGACCCAGGTGGCTCAGCGGTTTAGTGCCGCCTTCTGCCCAGGGCGTGATCCTGGAGACCCAGGATCGAGTCCCACGTTGGGCTTCCTGCATGGAGCCTGCTTCTCCCTCTGCCTGTGTCTCTAACTTTCTCTCTCCCTGTGTCTCTCATGAATAAATAAATAAAATATTTTAAAATAATAATAAAAAAAATAAAGAACTGCCAGACTATTATCCCAATGGCTACATCATTTTCCATTTTCTTTATTAGTGTGTGAGGGCTCCAGTTTTTCCACAATCCTCGTCCAATACCTGTTATTTCGCGGCATGAATTAGTATTTCATTGTGATTTTGATTTGCATATCCCTGATATCTAATGATGTTGGGTATCTTTTCATGTGCTTCAGAATGAACTTTCTTAAGAAAGTTATTAATCCATTATTCTTCTGCTTTAAAACTTTCCAAAACTTCACTATTGCCCTTGGAATAAATTCCAAACTCCAATGATAGCTCACAAGGCATAACAAAATCTAGCTTCTGGTATCTCTGGCCTGTTCTCCCCATCCTCCCCATCTTCCCCTGCCCTGTGCCTACTAGTTCCCTGGAATCATCTTGATCTCACCAGCCCTTCAAACTCTGCTGAGTGCTTTTCTTCTCCAGCAGTGACACACTCCCCTGGACCTTTCTCCTTCCACCTGAGCCTTGCCATCTCTTTTCCCTCAGGACTTAGAGACCCTTCCAGGTAGCTGCCTCCAACTTCCAGAGCCAGGTTATGGCCCCTGCTATATATCCGACAGTACTGCCATGAATGAGACTGCTCATTCCAGGTTTGAGTTATACAGGCACCTAAGATAAAAATAGAGTGTAATCAAAATTCTTCTTGGAAGCTTTGAGGAAGGTGCCATGTTGAAACCAGCATTGTGAGATCCAGCACTGTTGGTTCCTGCCTGTGTGGGAACAGATGATACTTTCTTTGGTTGAGCTCCAGATGAAGTTGTCAGCCGTATTTTGCAAAAAAAAAAAAAAAACCCACTTATTTTTAGGTATTAAACTCATTCAGGCAAGCAACTCACTTTTGAAGAGGCTCTTGGGAACTGTAACAAGCCGCAGGAGCAGCAGGGCACAAGCTTACCTTATGTGAATGGAGGCGCAGGTGAAATGGCCCAAGTGACTTAAATTATTTTCCTTTATCCTTGTCTTTTTTTAAACTTTCTCAAAAAAATATACCATTGTGTTTGCTTAAGTGAAATGTGTATATGATGCCGAATTTCTATACCCGTCCCCCAAAGCCAGCACACCTATACACTGAATTGTAATTCTCTCTTCCTAGTTTGTCTTTTTTGCTAGATTGTAAGCTCTGTGAGAGCAAGGGCCATGTCTGGTTTGTTCATGGCGGTTTCTCCAGGCTTAGAACCATGCATGGCACCTGGCAAGTTATCTATAAACATGGTAAACGTATAAATCCCCCAGCTGCAGGAACAGCTTCATTCCTGGGGATCCCTTTAAAGGCTAGTCCTTGTTTTCTGCCTTGTACACACAATACTTGATGTTCATTTTATTTTCTCTGTTAGCCTGTAAGCTCCTGATGAGCAGGTGTCTTCGTGATTGTTATCTCTGTATCCTCCCACCATGCCAGTCCAGAGTAAGTAGTGCTTAAAAAGTGTTTGGTAAATGAGTGAATTATGGTAAACAACCCAGCTCTGACTCCTTTGCAGGGTAGTCAAATTGTAGCTGACACTACCAGATTGAAAAAGAGGAAGATTATTCAGAAGTGCATAAACTGTACTTGTATAAGAAAAAAAATCTCATTAATTAGACCTCCATAAAATTCAAATTTTGATGATCTGGCCATATCTGAGCTGAAGTTTACCTGGTGTATAAAGGATTTGCTAGAGAATCATGTAGAATATTTTTTTGGAAAGCATTCATCTGCCCCAGAAGAGCAGGGAAGGAAGCTGGCAGGTGGATGAGAGGCCCCCAAGAAGGATTGCTGAGCCAGTCTTTAGCTTTGAGTCTTATTGACAAGGAATGTGTTGCAATCTAGAGATGGCGAAGAGAAATAACTTGTTCAGGCAGCAGCTCTTTTGCCTGCAGTAGTATTCCACCTCTCACTTGAAGCATTCTTAAAGTTATGCTGAAATGCTAATGGGCGGTTTGCATTAATATTAACAAATCATGGTGTCACAGATTAATTAATTGCTGTACAAATAAATTTGGTGTATAAGTATTTGCTTTTAAGCTTTATATAACACGAAGCAAATGAGAAAAGGCATTTTTTTTCCTCTAAGAACTAAAAGGACAGAATGTTTTTGATAATTTTGAGAATATCACAGTTGCTTTAAGGCAGATTGTTATTGCATAATCTAACGAACGAAAATCCAGAACTTTTCTTACGTTTATAAAATAAATATGAGAAGAAAAAAATATGGTAGCATTTTTTAAAAATGAAATTCTATGAACTTTTAATAGGACTTTGATGTTCCGGAAGCATTTAGGGAAATGCTGGCTCCAAAGCCTATTTCAGATTGTGAGGCACTGAAGTGAGACTTTCCTGTGCTATATAAATAAAACTCTGGAGTATGGGTGATACTAACCTGCCAAAGTCAATACTTGGCCCTAGAGTTCTTGCCTGTTTTTGCCTGAGCAACTCAGAGGCCCTCTTTGCATGACCAGATTCTTCAGTAGTTGAAACTTTGTATTTAATTGCCTATCATCCTCACCCCTCACTGGTGTAGATTAGTGAAGGCAAGAGGCCCCCATCATTGGAGGAGAGGAGACATGACCATGACCTTTCCTGGCTTTTTGTGTGTCTAATTATGTGATGCATCCCCTCTTGCCTTAGCAAGGATTACTCAAAAGGCTTATGAACAGGAGGTGGCACTTTTAGCTTAGGTAGAGTGTCTTTGGGGGAGGGTCCAATAGGATAGTATTAGAGACTGGGCCTGAAGCCCTGAGGGTTCATTTTTTCCTCACACACAAACTGGAAAAGACTGAACAAGTCCCTTCACCTCTCTGGACCTCAGTTTCCCTCTCTGTCAGATGAAGGGCTCAACTGAGATGGTCTCCAGGTTTCTTTCTATTACTAATATGAGTTCTAGGGTCTTTGCTCTGCTTTTCCAAAGACATTTAGGAGCCTAAGTTGAAGAGGAAGGGAGTGGGGGCAAGTAAGAGGTCCAAGCCCTTGGACCCTTGGTCCATAAACCAACCCCTCAGTTACAGAAGAACAAGAGCATCCTCTCCCTAGCTTCTTCCCTACTAAGCAAGCCCACCATCCCACACGCACATGCACGCACACATGCACACACTGTTCAGTGTTTTATTTGGGAGGTTTTTTTAGGAGGTAGTCCAGTGTATTAGGTTGGGCTGCTGTAACAAAATATCTTAGACTGAGTGGCTTAAACAACAGAAGTTTATTTTCTCACAGTCTAGAGACGGAAAGGCCAAGATCCGGGTGCTAGCTAGCATAGGCAGGTTCTAATGAGCACTTTCTTCCTGGCTTTCAGACAGTCATCTTCTCATAGTGCCTTCACATGGCCTTTCCTTGGTAAACGCACATGGAGAAAGAGCTCTCTCTTCCTTTTTTAAGACCACTAAGCCTGTTGATTAGGGCCCTACCTTTATGACCTTAATTATCTCCTTTAGGGCCTTTAGACCCTACTGCAAGTAAACTCAACATTAGGGGTTATGGCTTCAACATTACAAATTTGACAGGAGACACATAGTTCAGTCCATGATCCCCAGTAATGCAAAATCCCAGTATATGTTTGTGAAATGAGGTCTCTGCTTTTTAAATGCTCAACTGGGAGAGATTTAGACCCATTGGGTGTGAGAGTAGTAGGGTTGTAGTAGTTCAGAGTCCTGGTACTGGAGGAGATAGACCTGCCTTAAGTCCCAGCTCTGCCCTTTTTTAGCCATATGATGTTTGACAAGTGATCTGGGAAATCAAGATAACCAAGTAGGGTGGCTCTTAGGACCAGATGAGGTCTTTGCATGAAAGGCCTTTGGCACTGAATCTGGCACTCCCCTCTTAGCGCTCAATCAGTGGTAGTGATTCCTGCTGCTCCTCAGACTTCCTCCAGCTCCTCTTTGCCAGCTCTGTCTTCTACTGTGTCCTCAGTAATTCCTTCCAAATTCCTCTTTCCAGCTTTCCAGGACTCAGAAGGCCAGTGGGTAGTTAGAACATCTTCTGTGCCTAGAGATGATGAGGCAGGACTATGGGAACAGCCCCCCATCCACCGGTGAGTGCAGATATCAGAGCTTTTCACTCACGCTCAAGACACCATTTCTTTTACTTCTTGCTGAACAGGTCTTTATTCTGTAACTTTTAAGGCTTTATTTTGAAAAAATTTCAAAATTACAGAAAAGTTTCAAGGATAGGACAAAGAACATTTTGCCATATTTTATCATTCATTCTTTCCTCCCCTTTACTCCCCTAACCCCCACCTCTAAAGCATGAATTATTTGAGAGTGGCATACGTACAACTGCCTCTTTACCCCTAAATATTTCAGTATACATTTCCTAAAGTCTTAGGAAGTAAGGACGATCTCTCACATGACCATGATGTAGTTACCAAATTCAGGAAATGTATAATTTTATCTGATCAGTACAGTAGTATCTAATCTTCAGTTACATGTTTCATTTTTGCCCACTATCCCAATAAAGTTTTTTTAAAAAAAAAAAAAAAGCTTTTCTTTTTTATTTTTTTCTGGTCTAGGTTCCAGCCCAGGATCACACTGCATTTTGTTTTCCTCTCCTTAGTCTGCTTTAACCTGGGACAATTCTTTAACCTTGCCTTATGCTACTGATGTTGTTTTTTTTTTTTTTTAATATTTTATTTATTCATAGAGACAGGCAGAGACACAGGCAGAGGGAGAAGCAGGCATCATACAGAGAGCCTGACATGGGACTTGATCCAGGGTCTCCAGAATCACGCCCCGGGCTGCAGGCGGCGCTAAACCGCTGCGCCACTGGGGCTGCCCTATGCTACTGATGTTTTTGGAGTTCACTCCAGTTATGTTGTAGAATGTCCCTCAAATCGGTCCCTTGCCATTTGTCTAGAACCTGTATGAGGCTGTGAGTGGAAGGGTTATAGAGCATAGTCTGGCCTTGTCCATGGGGTCTTAAGTTTGGATTTCCGGGGACCGTAGTTACTGTCAGGTAGGCTCGAAGGGCCTATGTGTGCTCATGATTAAGAGTTCTACCATGCTGACACCAGCAAGCTTGGATCAATACATCTTTGAGGAATGCAGTCTGAGTCGGCATTTTAGGAGTCTCCAAAGATGCAGAAATGGCCCTGCACTCTGTGCAGCCTCCAGTCATCAGCTGGGCTTGGCCTCCTGAGGTGCCCTGAAGTTCATACTCCAGACATGAAGTCCTGCTCTCAAATGTTGAGCAAGCTGCAGTCCTAGGTTCTTGTGTGTCCCTATTGCTGACCTGCTTTGTGGCCTGGGGTGGGGAGAGGAGCCTCTTCTGGCTCTGCCAAGTGTCTCTGGCACTCAAAACAAGTGTGGGGTAGGGAGAAAGTCACCGAGCCCCGGAGTGTTAGAAAACAGGCCAGGACTCTGGCCTGTGACAGGGTTAAGCCAATTTAGATGGTCTTCATTGTGATATGACAGGCAGATGCAGACCTGGAACTTCATTTTTGTTTAGGTGTTGGACAGTGTCAAAAATGGTGAATTGTAATCTCTATTCAAGCAACTATATAGCATCAGGAACTGTCACATTAGTTGTAGATATTTTGTCAGACCAAAGCAGACAATGAAAAAATGTCACCGAGCTCCACAAGACTTTGGCCAAGCTAACTTTCAATGTGAAAAACAAAATAAAATTAATTTTCATCTTGTCATTAAGTCAATACCCTTGTCTGCTTTGTTTTAACACTTGTGTTAACATTTTCAGCGTGCTCTCCCTAGGGATGCAGACATTCATGTGAGAGAAATAGAATCTCCTGCCTTTTTTAATGTAAATTAATTAAAATTAAATAAAATTTAAAATTCAGTTCCTGAGTTACACTGATAACATTTCAAGGACCTAGTAGCCACAGTAGTCTGTGTTGGACAATGCAGATCTAGAACATCACATAGTTCTGTTGGACAGCACTGCTGTGCTTTTCCAGCAATCTGGGAAGCAGGAACACTTGCTTCTGTGACAGAAAACAGTCTTGGTCACAAAAGGAAGATTTGACAAATTGTGAAATTAGCTTTTAAATATGACTGCAGACTGTTGGCAGTATTTCTTTTGGGGTGTTGGATTAGATGAGAGATATGCTAGAAAGATTTATGGAATCTTATGTCTTCTGCCTGGTAGCCCAGAGCTCTGTTAAGTTAGTTCCCGCATGGTGTTGTAGCCAGGTTTTAAAGAGAACACAGCCAAGCTGAATCACTGAAGCGGTGATTTCAGTCAGTGCATTGAGTCTTAACATTTATCAGGCCCACCATAGCCTCAGCGCTTTGAGTGCAGGGGCCAGGTGCAGGAGCCCCATTTGTAGCGGTGGGGGTACTTCTAGTGGGAAGGGGACTTCATGCTCATGGCTGAGGCAACCACCGCTAAGGACCCTAGGCTGGGTGCTGGGCTGAGGCATCTGGTGATGGGGACTCACTCACGTGAATGATGAACAATGACTGGATTAATACTACTGCACTCACACATCTGATGAGGACATCCAGAGCTGTGTTTCCAGGCCAAACCTCAGCTCACTGTTCAAGAAGTGTGGGTGATGGAGAAGGGCTTCCAAGACCCAGCCCACAACTGCTGAGGAAGCCGCACAGTTATGTACCAGTGGGAACATCTGTGTCTGCTTGAAAGTGCCTGTTGGCCTGTGGGTCCCTGCTTCTGTGTCTCTGTCTCCGCCTCCTAGCCACCCAAGCTGAGAAGGGGAAGCTGAAGAGGCCGAGGTCCACACGCTGCCTCTGCTCCAGCTAGGATGTGGCTCTTCCACACACTGCTCTACTTGACCAGTAAGTCAGCCTCACCTGCTGCCCTAAGGGGTTGCTGTGCCTCTGTCTGTCTAAATGGGGCTCTCTCTGAGCGGGAGGTCAGAGATAGTAGGGAATCCCTCAGGGAGGGGCTCTTGCTTGCAGAGTTAGATCCCCAGCCTTGCTCAGAGGCGCTTCTGAGGCTATTAACAGTGCTGCCAGCCTGTGGCTTCAGACTCCAGAGCTCTGCCACCCTGTTCCTCCTCCAGCCAGCCTCCCCTCCCCACCCTGGGCCTTCTCCCTACAGCACCCATTCCAGGCAAGTCCCTGGGTCTGTGCAAGTTTGATCTGAGTATGGACACTGATCATGCTCACCCTGCTCAACAGAGCACCCTTCCATCACAGACTGGGCTTCAGCTGATGAGGGTGGGGACTCTGAGCACATGAATATTGAGGAGAGACGGGTGGGTGTGTGGTAGAAAGTGAATGCACTGGGGGAGTCTGCTTCCTGTTTCTAACATTAGGGCAGTATGAGAACCTGTGTGTGGGTGATGGGGGGCACTTCCTCTTCCAGCCTGGGGGTCCCATTCTGACCTTTAAACCTACCATGGAAACCACTTGGGGCAAGCCAAGCCATGAGCCTGCCCCTGCTCACAAGGCTTCAGGGACAAGATTGAGCATGGTCAGCAAGCCGCTGGAGGTTGCTCAGGTCAAGCCGGAACTAGGGTGGTCCAGCCTGGTGATCTGGACAGGCTTCCCGGGGGGTCTCCTACATTGGTCAGAAGCTTGATAGAAGAATGAGATGGATATCAGGCAGATGTTTCAAGGCTTGGAAATGGAGTTCTCCCTGAAGGATGGTCAGGAGCCAGCAAGTAAGCACCAGACAGTACCTGAGAAAGCCGAATCCATTGTTGGAGGGAACTCAGAATTAGCATCCACCCTGGGGCTAGGTCACCAGGAGGCAGACCAAACGTATAGGGCACAAGCAAAGCATACATTTTTGGACACATTTTAATTTGATATTCACAATAGGCTTTATGAAAGGTCAAAGCTTTGTCAAACTTCCTTTTCCTTATTTTACAGTTTCGCCTTCTTTTATTTTCAGTCACATGCACAGTGTAGAGAGGGTCTCACACTTTTTATGGCTTATGACTTTGATTCCCCCATCACCAAGTATGTCCGAAAAAGATACTTAGACTAGACTCTGGCCCTCATCCTCCCAGAAAGGAGGAAATGACTGGAGATAAGGGAGCCTAGTGACTGTCCAAAGTTACAAGCAAGTATGTGTAGAAATGGGGCTCTGGCCTCTGCCCTGCCTCCCAACTCTAGAATATCCCATAGCCTGGGTTGCTAATCCTGGCATCATTCTGGGCTCCTGCTATCCAATTTCCTGTCGCCTCTGGCATGACCACCCGTTGCCCCAGTGCCTTTTTTAGCAATGTCAGTCCAGGTGACATTTATCAAACAGTCCCAAAATTAATGGACAGCAGAGAGCAAGGAGCAGGCTTGCAATAAAATCACTTAACCTATAGCTTAGCTAAGCTAGGGAAAGGGTGTGAGAGCAGGGCCCCAGCAGCTCCAGTCTTAGTCTTGAGTGGGAGAAATGAAGCTGTGACAATTCTGCTCCAAGCTGTGAGGTGGGATGGGGGGGATGGACCAATCCTAAAGAGTTTCCTGGAGGAGGTGTGACTGATGCTGAGTCTTAGGGGCTGGGCAGAAAGTGACAAGGAGATGCAGGGAAGATGGGAGGAACCCCTCAGATTATGACTCAGGCTCAGGGCCCTGAATCCCGTGCCTGGCTGGGCTTCCCAAGACTGGAAGAAATCCAGATTGTTCTGGCCTGACCCTGACCTTCTACCCTTCCCAAGCCACCCACTGTGGTGATGTCCACTTTACATCTGTGAGAGCAGATAAGATGATATCAATTGTCTAAGAGTTTTCTACTCAGGAGCAGATACACAGACATACTACAACCCTGGAGCTGCCCATACCCCCATGTGTAACCACATCTTGCATTGCTACCGTATAGCCTGCTGTCCCCAGGTCAGTCTATGACCACAGCCACTCACTTCTCTGTGGGTCACCTTACAGTGGTGAAGACGGGCCAGAAGTGTAGGGCCTGCTGTGCTGTTGCCCCAACTTAAGGCTGCAGCCTGTGGCCCTATGGAGCCGTCATGGGGTGTGGGAAGATGTTAGGCCTGGCTCTGCCCAGGGCATACCCTGATACTTGTGTGCAAGTATATGACTGAAGATCTTGGTTGTTAGAGATGAGGGACCATAGTGCCCAACGTGGCCCTGAGAATGGAGGTCTTTAACAAGTATAGATTGGGGGGGAGGGGGCTTTCTGTTTAGAAGCAGTATTGACAAAGTGAGGAGTCTGTTTAGGAAGATGGGGAACAGAAGGTTGCCATCACACCCCCCCGTCCCCCAAGGACATGCTCGACTCTGAGGTTGAGGGTACAGTGTCCCTGTCCGGGGGCCCCTGTGTGAAGAGAAAGCAGGCTGCACTCACAACAAACCCTCTAATCCCCAGCCAGTGGGCCTATTGAGGATGCCTTTGACTATCACACATGGGGGATGAAAAAAGGTCATTCCAGGCAGAGGCAAAATATCTGAGAAGTGCAGTGTTTGTGGACAAGCCAGGTATGGACTGTGGACCATGTGGGAACCAGATGTATATGGGGGGCATGTGAGCAGTCGGGCTGGAGAGGTCCAGGGTGGTGATGGGGAGTGTGGAGGGTCAAGAGTACCAGGCTACGGAAGCTTGGACCTCACCCTGAGGGGAATGGGAAGCCATAGCTTCTTGAGCAGAGTGACAACAGTAAGACTTGCATGCTGGAAGGTGAAATCCTGGAGAAAGGGGAAATGATGAGGCTCCTTTGTGAAATACCAGTGTGGGTGGGTTGAAGGTGAACTGCCCCGTGGGACTGGCACCTTGCATGTGGCTCTGAGGCATGAGCTCCCCCCCAGGCCTTTCTGGGTGTTCTGTGCTGGGTATCAGGACACGCGACTCCAGTCCCGGTTCTACAGATAGCTCCTTGTGTAAATTTGGACAAACCATTGCCCCTGGGCCTGAGTTTGCTAAACTGAGAATAGTGCTGTGAGAATGTATATTTAAAATGCCCATGAGAGACCTGAACTATGGGAAACGAACAGGGTTGCTGGGGGGGGGGGGGGATGTGGTAATTGGGTGACAGGCATTAAGGAGGGCACATTATGTGAGAGCACTGGGTGTTACATGCAACTGATGAATCACTGTCTCTACCTCTGAGACTAATAATACATTATATGCTAATTAATTGAATTTAAAGAAAATAAATTTTTAAAAAATGAAATGCCCAGTGTGTTGGGGAAAGATAGAGGGTTGAGGGAAGAGGCAGTGCTGGCTGACAGGATGAAAGGAGGGTCTTATTTTTACTCAGCAGGCCTATGTGGCTCGAGACAGCCTGGGAGAAGCAGCCCTGTGGGTAGTGTGGTGACAGACTTTGGTTTGGCTGGGCTCTTGTATCTGACAGCACACAAGAGGGGCTTGAGATGGAGGTTAAGGCTGTCAGAACATGACAGGCCCTCCCTTGTGGTTATATCACTAACAGCACCCACGTATGGAGCCTCCAGTGGCCGCTGGGCAGGCATTGCCCTCTTTGCTCTGCACAGCCATTTATCTCAGTTGGTGCTGCCCAAGGTCCTCCAGTGACTCTGGCAAAACAAGGATTTGAAGACAAGACTATCTCCCACTAGGGCCCGTGCTCTATTTTCTGAGACTCAGTGGGAAAGGAAGGGGTTACGCCATATCGGGACAGCCCAAGCAGAGGTAAAATGTCAGGGGCCTAGAGGGCCCTGCTGTAGCAAGGTGGCCCAGGGCTGGCAGATCCCTGACCAGCTCTCAGGGTGGGTGCTGGTGTCTGGGGAAGCTCAGTGAATATGGTAAACCCGCTCTACACACATTCATATGCCACTGTGCCTGCACAGCACATTCTCGCTGACCTAATTACCAGCTATCTAAGTCAGAGCTCTGCCCAGGCTTAGTGAGCTGCTGGCACAACTGGGAGCTCTGCTCAGCAGGAGCTGTGCCCAGTTTCGCTGGCCATTTGTGACCATCTTTACCACCACCCCCCACCCCCTCCTGCCCCAGTGTCTCCAGCCTTTACTAAAGGCTTAAATTAGGCAGACTTGGACCCTAAGCACAAGTATTCAATTTGCAAATCACTCAACTTCTCTGAGCCTTAGCACCTAGTATGGTGCCTGGAAGAAATCAGGTACTCTGGGAGGGTAGCTGTGATTGTCTCCCTGTTCATCTCCTCCCTTTTCCCACCTCATAAAGATCTTGCATCAAGATCCCTCAGTTGAATAAGGCAAAACTGGAACAACATGGGGGAGTGGTAAACAGGAATCTCTGGCCTACTCTGACATTTCCAGGATACTTCTGGGTCTGGCCCTAGACTGAATGGAGCTTTGTGGTTGGTGGAAGACAGGTGTCATAGATGACTCAGGTTGCATTTGGGGGGAGACAGACTTAATCACAGATCACTCTGACCTACACAGGACTTAGTCGGAATCAGACACACTGCAGGATGTGCTGGGGGCTCAGGGACAAGTGAGTTACTCTGGTTGAGAATCTGGACTAGCTCCTGGAGCAGGGAGTGCCTGAGCAGGGCCCCAAAGGGTGGGGCAGAGGTGAGAGCCAGGAAGTCATGCTGCTCAGGGAAAACGGCTCCTGCAAAGGCCCACAAGTGGGAGGATTGTGGCTGGTGTTCATGGAATGGGATACAGAGGAGCTTGAAGTGGCTGGATAGCCGACCTGGCAGAGGGGGCATCGAGCCGGGCAGGGAGATGCCACAGATGCCCAAGTGGGGAGACCGGGCTTACCTCAGGGCTTTCAAACCATGGCTGGCTGTCAGTCACACAGTAAAATGGGAACGAAAGCCTCCCAACCACCCACTGTAAGAAGTTAGTAGTACTTACTTTTCCTTTTAAATTTATTTATTTATTTTAGAATAGGGGGCAGGGCAGTGAGGGGCAGAGGGAGAGAGAATCTTAAACAG